CTGTTTAGTAGTTTTCATGAGAGTCACAGAGCAGGAACTACTGGGTTGCTTCCACCTTCACAGAGGCAGTGTTTTTGTCTGGGAACAGGGGAGCAGTTCTTGCCAGTGGCCAGGGAAATGGTAGGTCATACAGACTGCCACAGGAACATGAAGCAACCAAATATGCGGTGTTATGGCAAGATCGCGAGAAAACTTAACTGGTAGCATAAAACAGTAATAGTGTTCTTCTACTACAGATAGCTCTTATATGGCAAAGAAGCAAGTATTAAATCATTATCATGAAAATTTAGGTGATTTTTATGGTTTTCTGCAACCTGGAGAGTCCTTACAAGAAAGACTATGAAGATAACTGTGATTCCAAATCATGGAATCAGGGAATATCCAGAGTTGAAAGGGCTCCACAAGGGTCATTGAGTCCAATTCCTGGCTCCACATGGGACCACCCCAAAAATCATAGAATCAGACCCTTTGTCTGAGAATGTAGTCCAAACACTTTTTAAACTCCATCAGGCTCAGTGCTGTGACCACTTCCCTGGGAGCCTGTCCCAGAGCCTGACCCCCCTCTGGGTGCAGAACCTTTCCCTAACCCCCAGCCTGACCCTCCCCTGTCCCAGCTCCATGCCGTTCCCTCGGGTCCTGTTGCTCAGCACCTGCCCCTCCGCTCCCCTCGTGAGGGAGCTGCAGGCTGCCATGAGGCCTCCCCTCAGCCTGCTCTTCTCAGGGATGAACAAACCAAGGGGCCTCAGCTGCTCCTCACACATCTTGCCCTCCAGACCCTTCACCATCTTCATAGTGCTCCTTTGAATACTATCTAATTGTTTTATGTTCTTTTATCCTGCGGTACCTAAAACTGCACAGAGTACTCGAGGTGAGGCCACAGCAGTGCAGAGCAGAGCAGGACAATCCCTTCCCTTGACCAGCTAGCAGTGCCGTGCCTGACGCACCCCAGGGTATGGTTGGCCCTTTTGGCTGCCAGGGCACGCAGCTGGCCAGTGTTCAACCTGCCATTGACCAGAACACCCAGATCCCTTTCTGCACGACTGCTCTCCAGCCTCTCATCCCACAGTCTGTATATACAGCTGGGATTGCCCTATAACCAGGGGCAGAATCTTGCTCTTGTTCTTGTTAAATTTAATGGGTTTGGTGATTTTCCAGCCCTCTAATTTGTCAAGATTTCTCTGTAAGACCTCTCCACCCTCAGGGGAGTCACCAGCTCCTCATAATTTAGTATTATCTTTGAATTTACTGCATTCAATCATGCATCCAGATCATCTATGAAAAACATTGAAAAGAACTGGCCCCAGAGTGGAGCCCATTGGAACTCTACCCTTTGAGCCTGACCGATCAGATAATTGTTCACCCATCATGATACGTATTTATCTACCTGTATGCTGGACATTTTGTCCAGAAGAATCTGATGTGAAAAATTATTGAAATTTTTGCTGAAATCCAAAAATATTACATCAGCTGGCTTCCCTTGGTCAACTAGGTGGGTGATCTCATCATAAAAGGCAATTAAGTTTGTTTAAAATGACTAAAAATTCTGGAAGGCTATGATAGACAAAGGTTGATGAAGTGTTATATGTTTCTGGTGGCATAAACAGTTGAAGGCATGTTCCAGCACTTTGTTTCAGATGTAGTTGCATAGGCAGCAGTACTGGGATATATTGTGTACTGCTGTTATTCAGAAGACATGCAGGAAAAATAAACACCGACTTACTGCAATTGTGTTCTCCTCTAGAAAGAGACAGAGTTTTCTTGCCAACCTGATATTAGTGTAGTTTAAGCATGACATTACCACACTCTTCAGTATTAGTGAGAAATCCTGAATTATTCAAATATAGACGTCTAAATGTTATATTTCTTATCTTGAGCTAATCACTTAGGCTCTTTACATACATCTCCACAAAGTGATTTATCTAACCCACAGATAAAATGAGTTGCTCTCAGGTTTCCCTCCTGGTTGATTATACAAAGGGAACCTAGAGTGACACTCTCATCTTTAGATATCTGTCATTCCTGTGTTTATGTTAGAGCAGATGAATCTCACCTGTATTTGTTCACTGGCTAACAAATGAAGTTCTAAAAAATCTTCAGAATGTGCTTTTGTTGTTTGTTCACTAGAAATTTCTTCTCTGCTGAGGCTCATCATGTGCTTTGTCCATGAAGCACTTCACCTTACTTTATACATAGAGACGTGACTGTATGAGTGAAAGGTAGCTCTCTGTGTAGTTACAGATTATTGGCATCTACATTATTATCCTCTAAATAGTCCATGAGAACTATAGTCCATGAGAATTGGTAGGAAAGGACAACTTGTCATATGGTACACCAAAATAATAGAAGCCAGATGAAAGTGAGGTTTCCCCATCAGGTTTTGGTGGCATCACTCCAGAAAGACTCAAAACATTTTAGTAAATTACCTTTTGCTCCTGTCATCTTTTTTAGCAAATTTCTCATAATCTCCATAAGACCATGTAGCTCACAGTCAAATGCTGAAGATAAGCCCCAGATGAGAAACCATCTTATGTGTTCTCTCTGCGGATAGAGGATCATCTGTGCTGCTAACAAGGCTCCATTCTGTGTTCTGGCACGATTTCAGATTGTTCCAAGTTTAGATTATGAGCATCAATTAGATGAAGTTGCAGTGGCCTTTGTTTAGTTACACTACAAGCTTACCCATGAATGGTGAGATAGGTTAGTGGGGGGAGTGCTAGTGTCCAGAAGTGGCTTCTCAAGGGTTAAAGTATGTGGTTTGGCGTTATTCCAAGCTGTCTTTAACAGGTTAGGAAATACATAGATTTACATGAATCTTAGGGCTGGACCTTCTTATGGTGAATGTGGTATTATGGTAATGTGGAATGTGGCAATACCATAAATTTCAGTGGAGGTGTGTAGAATGGATACTGTTTGCTAGCAAGTGTGTACCTCAGTGCAGCAAAGCTAACATGACTGTTCTCTTTGCACATGCAACCGACTTGGAAAATCTGTTATACTTCATTTTGTCTCTGTCAGTTCTTTTAAATACTGTCAACATTTTCCATGGCCAGTCTTCTTCCTGCACAGGGCATCAGAGAACCAAAAAGTACATGGTCAATAATGAGGAGCCATCTTTTTACTCTCCAAACAGCGTTCAGTGGTAATGAATCATCATTGTCTTCACCCCCACCCTGCAGATGGAATAAAGTTTACTTTTACTGTTCTTTGTTGGAGGGCAAGAATTTTGGTCAAGAGAACCTGGATGTCTGAGGTCTGGAATATATGAACACTGTAATGTAGATAGTGAAGATTATGATGCTTCGGTATTTAAATCTGGGTGATGTCAGTACTACAGATAACCTTTCAAAGTTTCACAGACAATGAGTTCTTTCACTTGCATTTCCTTGCAAAGCTTTTGTGACCTTCTTGACAAATTTATTGAAATCTTCAAAAGTGATACATATGAGTTATTTCACAGTAGATACTGGCAATATACTATGAGACTCTTGAGATATGACAGTGATCTATAGAACACCATGAACTTCATGAAAGTTAATCTTGCTTTCATTATTGGAAAATTATTTGCACTACTTTTGAGCAGCACAAAAAAAAAAAAAGAAAAAAAAAAGGGACATTAAAGCTTGTATTGAAGCAGCTCTTCTGAGCATGGGAAGGCCATGATTATAAGGGGATTCAGTTCCTGACATGTTTTCTTCTTGAACAGTCGGACTTTATCATCATGGTAGCAGAAATATACAGAAGTGGTGATCCCACTTAAGTCAAATTCTGTCATATATTTTAATTTTGACATTGACTTCCAGAGGTGAACTTCCTGGTTTTGTTGATGTTGATGTTTTTTGGCTTTCCCAACCTCTCCCCCATGGGAAATCTTTACTAAGGACTCATCTAGAGGACTGTGGAAAATGTCCAACAAAATCTGAAATCCTTATTACTCAGATCACGTTTATGATCAGCATACTGTTCAGGAGAACTCATTTCTGCTGGGGCTGTCACTTCACAGTGGAAATTTAAAAATAACTGTGGATTGATAGCATGAATGTATACATTTTTTATTTCCCCCCCTGTGAGGTCTGTTTCCTTACATTTTGAACCAAATTAGTTTCTATTGATATTGTTGCCTTTATTTGTATGAGGCATTTGCTGCACAAACCACTAGCAATTATTTCACATTTCCTTTGATCATAAATTTTGTTAGGCAGTTTAACTGCTATGAGTATTCAAATATAGTTTGCTTTAAAAGAGAACTAAAGATTTTCAGGTCCTTAACAAAATACTATGAAGCCAGTCATGTTTGAGACTTATCAGCTGATTTTTCTGTTCTAAATATAAATGATCTTTTGTGCTCCTAGCTTTTTAGTGTGTTCAGGCAAAGGCGGTGATTTATTTGCTGATAAATCTAGGATAATCCAATGTCATAGAGTATTGACTGCCTAAAAGATTTGATAATGGAATATTGAGCTTTTCAATTGCAGATCATTTAACATTTATCCTTGACCAGAGTAACTGCAGAAAACCCAGTATCTAAGTGGCCTTGCAGACTGTTTGACAACCCCAGTTTATAGCAAAACAGTCCCTTCCTCATTTGAGAGATATGAGCTTCTCCTCCAGAGCTGCTGATTGATATTTTACTGTAGTATGTCTTCTAAAGATTTTCAAATACATATAATATGCTTTCATTCTTCTGAGTTATTTGGGGTGAGTGGGAATGAGAAAGTATAAAAGTAAAACAAGACTAATGAAATGAGTTACGTTTAGTTCAGAAACTGCTGATTCTATTTCTCTGCAGTAGTACATTCTGCTGCTTAAATTTTGAGGCTTCCCTTGTTAGGTGATAATTTCAGTTCCATCAGTGTGTAGACTGTTGTGGGACTTTCTGATTGATTCACAAAAAAATGAGTATTCAAAATTCGTTACCTATTGAGTTTGGAGTCAGTTTCAGTTGCTTGCAATGACTTAACACATTTTAGGCCTTTTTTTTTTTTTTTTTTTCTCTGTTTCAGTTTCTTGAAAAGCAGAAAGGGACTACTGACTACCTCAAGAAATGTCCTGAAATAATCCAAAATGAATGCCTATAGAATGCAAATTACACTTTTTCTGTCAGAGATGAACCTTTCAGACCATGTTCTAAGGCAGACACCCTAGCACTGTTTCTACCCATCTTCCCTTGAGACAGGTAAGGAAATCCATTTCCCACTTATCATATTTTTCATGAGCTCAGCAACTGCAGCATTACCTCAAATGCTGGCAAAGACTGCAGTGATCCTGAGTGATCCTGCATGAAGAACACCAAATCCAGTGGCATAGTAACACAAATGCAGAAGCACGCCTAAAAAACATCTTAGAACATTCTCTTAACTGAGGGAATATATATCAGTTTCTCAGCATACATTTTGTACTTCTTGTGCCCAGCCCAAGTCAAAAACTGTATGTCTGAAGGCTGAGAGCTCAAAATCCATGCATTTGTCTCCTCTAGCAGTATATTTCTCTTGCTTTGGATTTTACAATTTAGAATACAGAATGTAAACATTATAAAGAAAATGGAGAAAAGTGCATCTTACAAAGATTTAACTGTTTTTAACATGATTCTAGCTTTTCAGAATGAAACAGAATAAAACCTCTCTAAAGCACCAGCTTGAAAATATGTCTAAATCACTAAAAATGCAAAGGTTGGTATTTAGGCAACCATGATATTTTAAATATTAATCTATAAAATATATAGGTATTTAATTCTAAGAATCATGTGTCAGTCAACATCACACTGCAGGAAAGGGATCATTGGTTCAGTCAGCACCTCCTTGCAGTTTGATTTTCATCAGGAAACAGAACTGCAACTCTGAGTACAGTCCAGTGGGTTGTGGGGCCAAGTTTTTGTCCTGATTCTGTGGACAGCTTGCAGGATTTGTTCATGTATTTCTGTGTCTTTTCCTCACAGTTAACCTCTTTATTCATACAATATAGATAAATTACAATTACAATTACATTCATACAATATAGATAAATTACAAAGCTCCCTAGAAAAAGCCCAGGTGTCACAAAAGTAAAACTGCATCGAACATACAAGAAGAGGAAAAGGAAAAGCAACCAAATGTGTACAAGGTCTACAGCTACCTGCAGGATTCAGAAGTATGCTTTTAAATACTGTGTCTGGAAAGCTCAACAGCCAGCTTTTCAGAGGGTTAACGCGTGCTTTGATAAAATCTTTTGAAAATTCCATTCTTATGATGACAAAATGAAAAGTGAATTCTTTGGAAAATTTGGCTCCTTATAGCACAACTCTGAAGAAAAAAATATTCTCGTGGTAGCCATCACATTGTTTTCTGAGAACTGCCTTGTAGATCAGTTTCTTGGCTGACCTCGAGACGGGAGGTGTTTTCTTACTGTTGTCGTGAATGTAACACTCCTTGCAAGTTTTTTAGCTGAAGTTATTTTGGGAAATAGTGATTTTCTGAGCTTAAATGTGTCTCAAGTTTTCCTTTATTTTATGGGTAGCAGGGCATGTACTGCATAAAGCCTTATCTGGATTTTTGGCCGATAGTGTTGGGGTCAGGGTCTGGATGCTTCCTGGGCAGGCCTGCTGGGCAGGCTGCTCCACCATCACACTGAGGTGGGGGTTCTCCAGATTTTCCTTGCAACCACTTCTGATGTAAATGATCCATCTTCTCCAGAACCATCAGGAGTAGAAAGCTAGAGCCTTGCTTAGCACAGACTTTTGTGTTCATCATCCATGATGTACACAGTGAAAATATGTCTACTTTTCACAAGCAAGAAGTAGTATGCAATACAAATATTGTCGAACATGTAGCACAACTTTGAGTGGAAATAGGTTTATAGAAAAGCTGAAAACAGTGAAAGGAAGAATATGAGTTTGCCTTACCTATGACATTTATTCTTCCCTGAATATATTTTTTAAAGCTCAGGGTTGTGACCTCCTGCTTTCAGCCCATAAAAAAGCAATGGCTTTCAGTGACCTCTTTGGCCTTCATACACTTGGACAGCTTTCTGACCAAGCTGAAGAAATATATTGGAAGCAGAGAAAGCTTATTTAGAATCAGGAGGAAAGACACATCTGCTGTGTCTTCTTCTCCCACTATGCTGGGCAAGAGAGTGAGCTGTATTTTCTTGTGTGAAAACCCCTACCCCCTCCATCGATTGGATTCTACCATCATTTGTGGGCGAGGGGACTTGAACTGTTCCAAGTCAGTTAAATTACAGTGCTGTCAATCACTGGAGAATTGGACCCTGTGGGTGAACAGTTAAAAACAAAAAACAAGAAAACAAAAAAACGCATTGGTTACTTAAAATCAGCCAGTGCAGCTGTGGCAGAAGTCTGTTGTTTATATTTACACCTTTCAAAAAGGAGACTGTGTTTAGTGGTGTGTTGCTACAGCAGCATTTGGCTGCTTATTGCAACATGTAATTAGAGATTTTACAATTTAATGTGCCAGGCAGTGCATCCTCTCCACAGAATTTGTGAGGTGGTAATCACTTTTATTGCTGGAATTTCATTCACGGAAATAGTCAAAAAGCTCAAATAGCACTTGCAGAGAAGCTATCTAATCTCCCCCCAGGTTAGTATTCACAGCCATGAATTAATTGGGAGAATAAAAGGTAGAACTTTAACTACACTCCAGGTCCCATCTTGGTCCCTACATCTGTATGAGAAATGCAGTTTTAAAGTCATGTGCCTTTCTCCTGTTGAAATCAATGCTGAAAAGGGTCATTGGTTGGAGCATAATTAAAATTGGACTCTCAGAGGAAGATTTTTTTTCTTCATGTGGCTGTATAATTATGCATTAACTAGTTAGCTGTTGTGCTTGGGGCACTGAAAGCACAACGTGGTATGTATCTCTTCCCTGTATTTGCATGTGAAGGTCAGAGGATATTTTTGAAGCAGACCTCCTATTCAAAAATCCATAAATCCATGCTGCATTTTCATATATGGCATACTGTACAGCTGTGTGTCTACTACTAAAAATATCCAAGTAAGAGCAGTCAGTCCACTCCAGTAATCTGGAAACATGCCTCAAGAGAGGAGGGAAGGTATTTTCTCTCCTACTCTATCTTGCCTCCATAATGGCCATCCAAAAGTATAATAAAATAAATGGCTGACATCTCTGTATTTTTTTAGCTTGACAGTCAATAAATTTACCAGTGGTTGGCAGCTCAAAATATTGTAATACGAATGGTATTTTGGATTGCGTTGAGATTCAGCAATGTTCTAGATGGAGCGTGCAGCCCTGTTGGACCCACTCCCACAAAGGCTACAGCATGTCATTGTTGCTGGTCCTCCCTGCCATGCCCACAGGGCTCTGATGACGTTACTGCTGGGCTTCACACAAGCTAAAGCTCATAAAGCTGAAATTTTGCTTCATACTGTGGCGGTACACACAGTCAATGAGTTTCACAGATGTGGTGGGCCCTCTTGGTGCAGCCAGAGAGCTTAAGGAATCAGATTTTTTTCCAAGATAGAAAGTAACAAAGTGTTACATGAAACTTTTTTATTTTTTTAACTTTTTTTTTTTTTTTAACTTTTTTTTTCAGGGTGGAGTTCTAGAGCCCAGACAGAGGGATGGAAGATGTTTATTTTAGGATACTATCCCAAGCCATGTGGACTGGAAGGAACTGGGCGATGATGGGAGGTGGGAAATGGGCTGCACTAATATGATGTAAACCAAAAAGACAAAGGCTCACTGTTGTTTTTAAAAGTTCAACACTGATGTTGTAACATTTTTTATTAAAGCATTATTGTAATTCATGATACTAATAAAAATCAAGAGGAAAGGAGAAAAAGAAATCTGAGAGAGAGAATGACTGCTTGTTTCAAGGAAGTATGGTTAGCTCAGCTCTTCCAAATTAGCAGCTGTGTAGAGTTTAATGCAGCTCCTTGTTGCATGAATGTATAGATGGTGTATATAATTATTACTAGATTTTAAAAGGGGCCAAATGTAAGAGGCAGATGTGGTACAGTTTCTGCATTTGCCATTTTTCTTTGGGAAAAAGGCATGGGGAGGCTGAACTGTCAAAATGGTACTGCAAGAAGACAGATACTGCTAAGCTGATATCCTCCTCTTCCTGACTGGTGCACCACTTTAGTGCCTCTCACACTGCATCTCATTCCTATGGGACTTTCGATAGGAATGAGGCAGGAGTGCTGTTATGTATGCCTTATATGAAATAGCTCTGCAAATACAGCAGAAGAAGTAGAATCATGTGCATAGACCACAGTGCAAGTGATCAGCTCAGCAATCAAGAGCACTCAGTTGCAGATGATCAGCATTTGGGCAAAATATTTTATTAGAATAAACCCTTCTGCTTCTGAAAATGCTCCTTTAAATTGCCTGAAGTTCTTTAGGTACCCTGCTGAATCGATTTGGCCTAAAACAATGAAAAAGAAAACAAAGCAAATCAAAGTTTAAATACAGAAAACAATCAATTTTTAAACTAAGTTTTATTGAAAACTAAAATAAACAATAATTAGCAATGTCATTCCGGTTGTTGAGTTGATCCTAAAGAAACTATGATTTCTGCTTCACCAAACTAATTCCATCTTGGATGACTGATAATATTTCACTGTTTCTACTACTTACTTTCTCTCTGTGAATTCCACTCTAGAGGAAAAGAGGGGAACTGAGGGATATTAAATGCCTTTATTCAGCTCTTCTGAAGCACGCTACCTTCATGCACAGAACAGCTGGAAGTCAGGGGAGCCAAGGGAAGTGATCACCCTTCCTTTCCCAGAAGCAAAGCTATTGCAGTCCCTTGGTGAGGACAAGAAACAAGTCTCTGCAGAAGTCTTGTTATAAAGCAGGTACTATACTGTAAAGATCAAGTTACATATTTTGGTTTTGCTCTGTGTGGATAAACTTTTTCCCTCCTGGTAGGGTATGGTTTTACTGTACAGCTGCATTTATTTACATGCCTTCCTGGAACTGCAAAAAATTCTTTGCCCAGATTTATAGGTTGGTATGTATGCAGCGGTTTGGCTTCTACTGAAGTTTTCTTCACAAACCAAACCCAGTTCTTATTGGTACATGAGGTGTGTGTGGCAGCAGTGCTACCACCTGTGTTTTGTAGCCTAACCAGTACTTCAGCATTTCTTCTCTCTACCTCTCCCCTCCTACCAGCTGGGAACTGCAGATAGGCACAGGACTTGCACAGAAACAGGCAGTAAATCATCACATTGTTTCCTTAGACCCAGGCAATTAGCAGTGCTGGTTTTGAAGCAGGAGGACTAGCAACACAGTCTTCCAGACAGACTTTGTTTTTACAGAGGTAAGGCAAACCATCAGCTGCATAAGATGAAGTGTTGAGAAATTTAGCTGTGGGGAGAGAGAGAGAAGCAAAGATGACAAGGAATGAAGATGGGTCAAATTCCTGATTTTATAGAAGTGTTTGCTATAACAAGTTTTGGAGCAGCTTTTAGTTATTAAGTGGACATGGTTAAAATGCACACAGCTTTGTGTGTGTGGTTGCAGTTTCTTTAAAACTATGGTAAAGGCAACTCTAGAAAGAAGCAGTATTTGCTCAAGAATGCATTTTCTCTGATCTTAATGTTACATGTTCAGTTTCAGAGAAAAGTTCCTACGTCTGTGGCTTTCACTGTCAACAGTAGATGGGAAAACCTTCACCCAAACTCTGATCTTAATGTTACATGTTCAGTTTCAGAGAAAAGTTCCTACGTCTGTGGCTTTCACTGTCAACAGTAGATGGGAAAACCTTCACCCAAACTTTTGGCTCTCCTTAGGTGAAATTTCCTCCTGCTTCTCCTTTTTTTTTTTTTTTTTTTTTTTTTTTTTTTTTTGGTTTGTTTGTTTGTTTCTTTGAACCAAAAGGAGCTCTCACCCTCTCTCTTTCTTCCCTTCTCTTATCAGCCTAGAAGCTGACAAGAGATGGATAAAACTACAGGTTATTTCAAATAATAATTGGCATATTTTCAAGATATTGGTAATAAGGCAGATATACACAGCAATCCTGCAAACTGTCACACATTTTTAACTTCAATTTAATTTCTGGCTTCATCCTAATTTGAGAGCATCCTAATTAGGTAGTCAATAGTGACTGAGAAACAGTGGCCTGAATTTACTGAGGGTATAATTCTGAGTTTGGCTGTGGCTTGAGATCTATCTGAGTAAGATGAGTCTGAGAAACTCTGAGCTTTCTGTTCTCAAGGTCTTCCCTTAGCAACTTACAAATGTCACTGTTTATGACACTGGCAGCATTTAGAAGCTATAAAGCTATTGCCCTAGAAATCATTTTTATAATGTACAACCATTCAGTTTCAGACAGTGTAAATCAAAAAGAAAAACAGTTGAGTAAATTCTAGCTCTATCTTGAATAAATAAATGGCCTTTTTTGTTTTGTTTTGTTTTGCCAAATTCCGGGAGCTAAATTTCAGTCCAAGCAATTTTAGTTTCAGCTAACTCTCTCTGCCTGCAATTAGTGTGAACAGTTTACAAAAGGGGTTGAAATTATCTCAGAACCATTTCCTTCAATTTAGATTTAGCCATTTGTCTAGTGGATAAAAGGGCTCTGTTTCTGATGGGCTGACCTCCATTTATCAAGTGAATTTCTTGATCTTCTCGCAAATGTCAAACTGTATAAGAATGCTTTAAGAGAAACAAATGATGCAGCCAGTTGAACTAACTCAGGAAAATAAAATATCTGCCAGAATTGTTTCTCCCAGAATATGGGAGTGGCTGGAATACTCTGGGGCAACACCACAGAAGAGCATTTAAAGCCAGCAAGAAGAACAAATTTTTAAAGAAGCAGTTGCCAGAGTAGAAGGGGAACCCTGTGGTTTGATCAAGTCGCTTAGTGAAAATAAAAACAAAATACTTAATCTGTCTTTAAAATATATGAAGTGAATCAGCCTCTGTAAGTAACCTTGCTGAGCAGAGCTGTTAAATTACTGAGCATTCACTTAATGCTCCATCTCATCTTGTTTAATAGACTCATCCAAGGAAGCAAACGGGTAAGCAGGAGGATGGGCCATGTGCACGAGCAGTTCTTATAGTGCTCTGATGAGCTGTCTCAGAAATACCAGTGCAGAATTTCAGGCTTTAAACGATCACTATTTAACCCTTACATTATAGTGATACCCCAAATTATAAGCCTTATCTTAATTGCTTCCAGGTGCTAGATTTTCCACAAATAATTCATAAATGATTGTCCCTGCTCCAAAATAAGACTGTAAGAATGATGAACATTTTATAATAAGTAATGAAAATCTTTGAAACCCCTACCGTATCTAGTAAAATTAGCTGATCCAAATTCTGGATTTTTATTTTCAGGCCACCTGCCTGGACAGTATTCTAACTTTTTTTTTCTTTCTTTCCTTCCTTCCTTCCTTGTGTGTGCAGTTTTGTTTTTTTTTTTTTTTTTTTTTTTTTTTTCCATTCTCTCTTCTGTCATTATTGACTTTATGTCTTTATAGTGTAGGAGTATCTCCTTCCCCATTTTGCTGAGCATAAAGGTAGATTTTAGCTTCAATAAGTGCAAATAGGCATTGCAGATTGATTGTAAGAAGTAGTCTGTTTTGTAGGACAAAAGAAATCCAAAGAACAGTATAATTTGTAATGGAACAGAACTGTGCTCTCTTTGAACTGTATGTATTGCATTTCACGTTCCCTTTATGGCCTTTCTCAAAGCATTAATAGAGGTTTCCTTTGGACTGAAGGGGTGTTTAACCTCTGCATTAGGAGTAAATTACTGAACTCCTGTGTAATCTTTCCCATTCACTGTCTTGAATGGCCAAATGAGTATAATGCTGAAGTAGGAATGCTTTAGTGAGAGTGCATTTAAGAAAGTCCTCTTTCAAGCAGTGGTACAGCAGGAAAAAAACAAAAACAAAACAAAACAAAAAACAGTTGTCGCCCCCCCCCCCCCCCTCCAAAAATCTAGAGTATCCTTAGATCCTTTGTCAGTTAAAATTGAAAATAAAGGAAATGAATATTGATCCTGAATATTAATCTTTAATTGTCTAAAATGTAAGTGTCTGCATCTGAGCTAATCACCCAACTCTCTGTTAGTCAGGGGAAATCTGGTTAACATGGTCAACTGTGTTTAAGATCTGATTAATCAAATGTAGGTGGCTAATACAGGAATGTGATAAAAGACCTCCAATCTATAGAGGTCGATACTATTCGTTATATCTCATATCCTTAAAGTATATGTTAAAAACACCCATATTTAGTCATGCAAAATCACCTTTTTTTGTGAGTTCTTGCTGAACAGTTTCTGGAAAATTTGAAGTTACACCATCTTAGCAAATGTTTCTGCATGTCTTCCTTTCAGGCAGCTTTATAAGCAGTAAATGTGCATATATAAATCCAAATATCTACCCACACAAAAACTCTCCTTTCCAGGAAACTATTGCGTTGGCTTCTGGTTATCACAAACATTAAATGCCTGCCCATGTGTTTCTCTCAGTTCTAGGCAAAGCACTGAGCAAAAGTGATTAACAGCAAGTAATTGTAATCCATCTAAGAGTAATTCTTTATCTGTCTTGCTGAGAATTAATCCTGCAAACATGAGATCTCTCCTTTGGTCTGGGTATCTCTGAGGCACCATGGGAATGGGATGTAGGAGAGTTTTGGTCGTCCTTCAAGAGCAGTGATAGTACTACTGACACCCTGAAATCAGAATATCGGAACAAATTTCTTTTGCTGCTCTGGTGAATGTTCTGATCTGCTTGTAATGTTGCAGGGGTCTCAGCCTGCTGTTTAAAAGCCACCAGGACACTTTTGGTTGATGGGTACAGGATTCTGTTTTAACTAGGTGGCAACATGCCCTTCTCTTTAGAAGGTGCAGAGTCCACTAGAGCTTCAAGCTGAAGCTGGAGGGTGCCTGACCTCTCCCTTGTACTGCCCTGGTACTACAGGAGGATGCTGCAGCTTCCTAGCTGGCTAGACATATGTATGTAAGGAAAGCACATAAATGCATACAATCTGCATATTTCTTTTTTCTTTCAACTACTTAAACATTTTACAGTTTAATCTCTATCACAGCAGGTTGATGTAGTATGTATAGAATTAAGATGAAAAAGAAATCTAAAATTAAGATTTTTAAATGGAAAATCATTTTAGTGAAGTTCACCTGATGATAACAGATATGGAGATTAAGTCTTTCATGTGATTCTGTCTAAGACAAGGGGCTGCCTGCAGTTGTTATATCTCCTTTTTTAGTCCAAAATACAATGGAAGAGATATGTTCCAGCCACAGGTTAGAATAGTGAAGTTATTCTAACAACTGTGGATTTTAATTTGAGCAGTGGCTTCAGCCCTAGGGTGCCTGTTAGCTTCTGTTCCAGCCTCACTCCCTTGCTACTTTAGCCCAAGTTAGTCAAATTGTTTTAGGCAGCCTAAAATGAGAACATACTTTTTTTTTTTTTTTTTTTTTTTTTTTTTGTGTGTGTGTGGAATAAACATCCCTAGTGTGAAACAACTAAAACTTACTGAATATCACTAAGATATTCGCAGTTTTTAGCCTCTAAATCTAGCTTTGAGAGTTGTAGCATTTGTGGACTTTTTTTTTTTATTATTATTTTTTTTCTTCTATAGGAATATGACAAAGGAAAATGGAAACTCCCAGTAACCACTTCAAAAATGAGCTAGTAAGGAAATCCATTAACTGCTCTTCTTATCTCACTCCTTCGGAATCAGATATGTCCCTGGGAATTACTGTGCTGTGCATATAGCAGCAGTTCAATCACAGGAACTAGAAGACTGTAACAGGTAATATAGGTAATACTATACCAGAGTGAGAAAGGCAAAAATTGGGATGAAGTATTAAATCTACGTAATAATATCTATTATTATTACTGCCACTTAGCTCTCATATTAAGTCAGAAACTGCACAAATCAGAATTTTTATGCACTTACAGCCAGCCTATGGTGGTGTTGCTAAATGGAGTAATCCCCCTGTCCCTACTTTCATCTGTGTGTCCCCATGCCCTTCCTTATCTGGATATGAACAATTACCTAATTGCATGAAGATGCAGAAGGAAGATCTGATGTAGCTGAAAGGTTTTAGGTGGCAGAATGTATTTAGGTCTTGATTCTCAGCTGGATCTGAGCTGCTGTAGGTCATTGCACAACTGTGTGAATGGTGGTGCTGACAATAAGCAGGGGCTCAGCCCTATAGCTTGGGTTTAGGAGGAGAGTGAGAAACTTTTCACCTTTGGTAGGACTTTGGATTGGTTTAAGCCATCTACAAAAACGTACTTGTTAAATATGATTTGAGGGTAGAAGAGGGAAAACACCCATCATTTATGGTAAATGCATTTGTCACATATCTTTCAGAGGGATGGTTTAGAAGACATGGTGAAGAAGTGACTATTTCATCCTCTATTAACTGGAGATCCCCTGTTGCTGGGTCTCATGTCACTGCTGATCCAGAGATCATTTCTGCCTGAGTAGAATAACAATGAATGAAGCTTGATATTAAGGCTATAGTCCTTCAGGTAGTTATTCTCATATGTTGACATCCTGTGAACCTAAAATGTATTAAATAACTACATTTCTTCTCTAGCACAAATCAGACTATCAATGTACAGATATATAAACCTATATTTTTAAGTATGTGCCAGTGAGATAAGAGAGAAAGTGAATGAAAGTACGGAATCAAATGCTATTTACATTTTCCCCCATTTCTTTTGGGGCTGAAGAAAGGAAAGAATTTCTGAAAACATTTTCCAGTTCCATTAAAAACCCCAACCCACTATCCCACTTGTTATTTACCTACAAAAAGACATTGTAGTGTCTGGGTTCTGTGCTACTTACTTGTAGCCTGCTTAAGAAACTAGTCAGTAGACAGTTTGATCTGACTGTGACTGTGGGTCTCACGTAGTGTGATTAGACACAAGGCCAAAGACCTTCCAGAGATCCTCTGGATTATCAAAGGATAGGTGGCTGAAAGAGTAGGGACTCTTTTCATTCACTTGAGAGAAAAGCTGCAGCATGAGCTGTTATAAGGCATCAGAGAATCTGATGTCTGCTGGGAGGGTGCTTTCTGAATGCCACCACTTTGGGAAAAATTGAAGCGTGTCCTCACCTACCTGACACAAATCCGTGGGAAGACAGCTTTCATTGGTTTCTCATAACTGCATCTCAATGTAATATCTTTTCTAGTTCTTAGGTGGCTTCTTTTGATGGGTGGAATAAATGTTACCACAACTGCTACCAACCTTGGTGTGAAAAGCTGTACAGATCACGAATTTTCATCTGACGTAGGTTCTTCAAGTGTCCTTGGGTTCTGGAAAGGACTTAAGTAGCATTTAGATGCAGGGCTAGGCTTACATCTGAACAAATAGACTTCAAATATATTTATTTATTTATTTATTTTTTCCTAGGAATTTTCTGAGCTCTCAGTTGGGTTGAAAGCATCTGTCCGGGTACCAACCAGAGCCACCGGCCCACTTGTGCAGGGGCGGAGGTGCGAGGCTGAGGCTGCAGTGGCCCCTAGCGGGGGAGGCTTTGTCATCGCGGAGCCTCTGTCGCAGGGGCTGTGCACAGCTTCTGCACAGGCACCTCCTGCCGAATGGGAGGTGACCTCAGAAGGGGAGAACCCCAGCTTGCTAGGTTTTCAATTTTCATTTGCCAGCTTTCAATTTTCCATCTGATTTTCAAATGTTGTTCAATAAAAATGTTGGTAGAAAGCTCTGTTGGAAAGTCACACCAATTTGTTCTACAGTATGACCTTGCACTTGTTTCCACATGCATTGTTGTTCCTCAAAAAAGTCTTAGCAGATTTTACAACCATGAATTAATGATATTTAGTAGATCTAAAAAATGCTACAAACTCATTTATTGGACAATATTGCCATTTAATCCCTGCCGGAATTGATCTTTCACAGTTCACTGAGGTATTCTTTTTGTCATAAGTAGCTGCCTATACAGAGACCAGGAATTTTTCCCTGAAGGAAGTAGGAGACATTCCTGATGATGCTGATGTGTCAAAAAATATAGGGCCCCCTGTCTTTCCTGTGCCTTGTGGTGCAGTGAGCCCAGGTACAGGAGAGGTGGTTGTTTTTCTTGCTATTTTCAACTCTTCTCTCTTGTGGCTGGAGCTGCTGCCTGAAGGCAGTTCCTTAGCTCAGGAGTGCTAATCCCTTACTGGCAATTCCAAACCATTAAAGAAGAAATATCCTAATTTGCAGGAGGGAAAACCTGTTGCCATCAGAATAATTAATTGCTGAATGGAAAATTATGGAAAATATATTCATTAGTAAGGATACCTTCATGTATCAGTTACCTAATTTTAGACTATTTGTATTTTCTGGGGTATGGCACATTTATAAATGTAGCTAAAACACATAGAATACAGAATATCAGAACTCATTGGTATGCTGGTTAAAAGCCAAAGTACCACACAGAAAAAGTAGGTTTTTGTACACAGGCAAAAAAAGTCTCTCAACTTGTTTTTCTTCTTAGTTATGAAACATTCATCACTAGATATAGAATTTTCTTTGAAGCACATTGTGCAAAATTTTTGGTGATTCCTGAACTCAATTTGTAGTCTATAGGGGTTGGAAAACATTCCTAACAAGAGAGAAATTTAGTTCCATTCAAAGAGAAACAGTGAAAAGGGCTGCTCAAAGTTTAGGTAGCTGTAGTGTTACCCCTTTAGGCATTTCTGTTAATAAAAACGTACTCGTGCTGCATTGCTTTCATTGCCAGGGCAGCCTCTCAGCGATGCTGCTCTGCTAAACACTTCTCTCCTCCTTACCAAGGATTTTATGCTTCCTCTTGGTTACCCTACTCAGAGCTGTAATGCCAACACACATAGCCCAGCTGTGGTCATGCAGAAGCTGTGTCATGTCTTCTGACTTGATCTGTGTCACTGGAAGTATTTCAGCTGAATTGAGTGAATATTGAGGCAGATTCTAAATACCCAGCAAAGTGTCTACCCCACAGGCATTTTAGCTATGTTCATATGGACTGAATGCTCACTAAAGCCTTAGGCAATAACATAAATACTCAGCAAGGAATAAGGGCAGATGCACAGGCAATTAGGATCAGTCTTATAAATATATTAATGTAATTTGTGGATTATACCAATTTGTGAGAAATAGAAATACCAGTGAGAAAAAATATGTTAAAATACAACTGAGAAAATTACTACTAATAAAGGCTTTGGGAGAAAATATACAGTCTGAAAATAGATCAAGAGTTTAACATAAAAAATAAGTACATATACAAATAGTGAAACAGTCCAGATGGGAAAAGTTCAGATGAAGGGAAAACCAAAGATGCTACCTTGAAAGGAACTGGAGGTAACAGAGAAATCTAGAGTTGACACTGAAGAACAAACTAGGCATGACCTTACCTCTGATTTATGTATTATGTGGTATGGGAATAAAAGAAATGAGAATTACCTTTAGGCTATATAGAGATATGAGGGAGAAGTGAGAGTCCCTCTGTGTGTGTGACAAAACAGGACCTATTTCATCATGCTCTGAGCATCCTGTTACCAAAAATACATTACCAGAATGTGATCTGAAGAGAGCAAACCAGAAAAAATAGTGAACAAAGAGAACTGAGCATACCAAGCTTGACTGAATCATAATTAAATGAGTATCATAATAATCTGTATTGAAAGGGTTAAGTGCTGAGAAGGAATGTGATGAGAAATAATGACATGAAATTAAAGAAAGAGAAATTAGATGTAATATTATGAATAATTTGAACTGAACAGACTGAGCAATTGTGGGTAAAAGAGAGATTTTGGCCAACGGCACCAGGGAAAACCCTCATTTTTACACATTTTTAATGTCCACAGAACAGAAGGAGTCAGGCTTTTAATGTCTCACTTAAAAAATGCATGCAGATGGTGTTTTTTCATGCATTTGAAAAATGAATTTCTACATTTTGATTATGTTGTCATTAGCAGTAGCCTTACTCAGTAATTAGGAAACTGGTTACTAGCATGTGTGAGAGAGATATATTGAGAAAGGAGGATGTTATCTCTTTGTTTCCACAGGGATATAATTAAATGCAACCAGCAACATCATGAAAACAGTAGAAGAAATTCAAACAATAACTATGTTAACTGGAAATGGCTTATTGTTCAGTGAAAAACAGCTGATCTCCATCAGAAACAGCCACTTTAATTGCCAGTGCTTACTGTGGCCAAGAAAGAAAAGGAAATTCCATAAGAAAAGGGTTTTCCCTTTACTAAATGCAGTCTCTTTCCTAGGTAAGTAGCTCTGAATTAACTCCAATTTGGACATGAAGCTCTATGTAACAGAGTATTCCAGGTGAGTTTTTCTTTCATTCCTGTGTTAAACTGCTTAAGACGGGAGAAAAAGCCAGATACCACAAAGCAGGCTGCGTGGCACTGGAGGAGAAGGTAAGAGCAGAGCAGAGGGCTGCAAGAGCCTTTTCTCTCTGGAAAGCAGCTGCTGCTCCAGGAGCGGCATGCTCATTCGGCAGCAGCCAAGAGTCAGGCCTGCCTGCTGCCCACTCTTTCCTCCGAACAACATTTTTGGTTCTCGGAATGAAAAAAAACCACAACAAAACAACAACAAAGTAAACACAACCTGAACCCTTTGGTGCTCTTGGAAAGGGAAACAATGGGTTCTTCTCAGTGAGAGCTTCATTCCAAGCCACAGATTGTGCATGCGCAATTTTTGTTATTGTCATTCTCAGCTTTAGGACTGTATGAATTTCACAGGAGGTGAGCACCTGTGTCTTTTACAGCCTGTGTTAAGTATTTAGTTATTGCTGAATATGCTCTGTATAAGTACATTAAAGGAGGCTGTAGCGAGGTGGGGGTTGGCCTGTTCTCCCATGTGCCTGGTGACAGGACGAGGGGGAATGGGCTAAAGTTACGCCAGGGGAGTTTTAGGTTAGATGTTAGGAAGAATTTCTTTACTGAAAGGGTTGTTAGGCACTGGAACGGGCTGCCCAGGGAGGTGGTGGAGTCACCATCCCTGGAAGTCTTCAAAAGACGTTTAGATGTAGAGCTTAGGGATATGGTTTAGTGGGGACTGTTAGTGTTAGGTTAGAGGTTGGACTCGATGATCTTGAGGTCTCTTCCAACCTAGAAATTCTGTGATTCTGTGATTCTGTGATCTCAAATGTACCAAAGCATGTACAGGGCTCTGCCCAGAAAACTTCTGTTCATCCAGGGGAGCTCCCAGCTCAGTAGGCTGGAGCTCCACAGCTTCTGATGGGACCTCTGTGGAGCCATGAGCATCCAGGCATGCCTGCAGAGACTGCTGCTATGAACAAGAAATCATCGAAGCATGCAATCTGCTGTCTTCACTACCTCTTACAGAATTACTGTGGTCCTTTCTGATCATCCTCATTGCTTTCTTGCAATCTTCCCTTTAATATATGAAAGAGCTGCTGACAAGGATCTCTGGACTTCCTACTGTAACCTTTTTACCTCTCAATACACCAAATCCCCTCAGTAGTTTTTTAATCTTTTTCATCAAATTCAAAAACCTGTCTTCACATTGTCTGGGCTATCTGTAATGTGACCCATGCATTTCTATTTTAATTTGCTTGAAAATCCTATTTCGTTCTGGCTTTCTATTATTGTCCTCATCCTTTCACCCTGCTCCTCCCTGCATCTACTTTTTCTACTTTTAGTTTCAGACTTTCTTTCTCATCAAAATCCATTTTTTTGTACTGATCAGTGGGATCTCTTCCCCTTAAAATCTTTCCTTTAATTGATCCCTTGTGTAGTTAACTGAGATTTTTCTATGCTTTTCCAGTTAAAGCCATTTTTATTGTGGGCTCCTTACAAACTCCATTCTCTGGGGAAAGATCTGGCTTTTCCTCCATTTCTGGGTTTAATACTGGTTTGGCTGCAATTCACTCAGGGGAAGAGGTCTTTGGCAGGCTGAAGTTTGGCCATAGGGAGGAAAAAAGGAGCAGACTGTGCCAAAGTATAAACAGAATGGTGGAATTTCCCAGCATTTTTCATGGGCTACTGGTTGGACCAAGAGCTAAATGTCTGAAATAAATCTTACAATACAGTCCACTCACCAAGACCACGTGTATCATCCGGATGCACATCGGTTCCTCTTTTGAAAAGCCTCAAGTAATTGCACTGCAGAAGAGCTTTGTTTTAGTTTGAACTTTTAACACTGCAGGGTTGGGAAGCAGAAGTCATCTGCTGTAAAATTGGCTGAGTGCTTTCCTTCACTGAGGAAATCAATGGTATTTTAAAAGTAAACTGCTCTGAACATAGGTGTTGCAGCATTAATCTTTTTTTTTTTCTTTTTTTTTTTTTTCTCAAGTTGCCACAGCAACATAAAATTTTCCTTTCCCCCACATTAGCTTCTCTAAAATACACTTCATAAATTGTCTCTGAAAAAAAACCCTCATATCATGCTGACAAATTGTGATGTTTGCTCTCTTAGCATTTGGTCTTCTGAGGAGTTAGGAATATTAGAGCAAGGCTACCTGATGTGCAAAGAATGCAGACTGTACAAATTTGGCCTTAAGTAATGGGATGGAGATGACAAGCTGAAGTTGAATTAGTTGCTATCTCTAGGCAGGAGAGGAGCTTAGAAAAACCTCCAAATAGTCTGGCACTACTCTGTAGAGCCTAGTGTGACTGGGGTTTAGGCAGCCTGCCCATTTTCTACATTCAGAAGACAATCACTGACCTATTGGATATGTTATAAGGCGATATGTTTTAAAA